ACCACGCTACCACCCAATCAATCATAGATCCTCGTTTATCCCTTTATTTATTTATAATTCATTTTTATTATTCATTTGAAATTCTTGTAAATTTGCAAATACCTAGGCTACTAGATTAGCCCGGGTCCGCTTGCCCGGCCGGGCCAAAAACAAATGAAAAAATAAAAAAATAAAAAAGATTTTTGAATTAAAAATTTTATTTAAAATTTGGTAAAGAATTTCGATGTGACCCTAAGGCTAAAGTTGTTCAATTTATTTCTTTGCCTGACATAGTTTTTTTTCGGATTTTTTTTGTTTTTTGGCTGGGACCCTCCCTGACCCTTGCACAGCCGGGCCGCCCGGGAAATTAGGGTGACTCGGGCGGCCGGGCTGGTAGCCTAGGCAAATACTTAATTAATTATCTTTTTCGACATTTCTTTTCCAAAATATATTTTTTTTTGGAACTTTCGCAAATATTTAGAATTCGTTATTCTTTCTCGGCATTTCTTTTAAGAAGTTTGAAATAATTTTAATTAATTCTTTTTTGAAAATTTTGTAATTCTAAAATATTTCAGAATTAATTAAAGTCTTTTTTGACATTTCCTTTTCGTAATTTGAAAACAATTTTAATTACTTCTTTTTTGAAATTTTTGTAATTCGAAATAATTCAGACTTAATTACATTCTTTTTCGATATTTTTTTTTCGTAATTCGTAAGCATTCATAATTAATTCTTTTTCGAAACTTTTTTTCTTTTTTTTTTTGTAATCGGGAAATATTTCTGAATCAACTAAACTCTTTTCTTTTCATAATTCGAAATACGTTAGAATTAATTAAATTATTTTTAGTCATTTCTTAATTTGAAAACATTTTAGAATTAGTTAAACTCTTTTCGGAATTTTTGTAATTCGAAAATATTTTAGAATTAGTTAAACTCTTTTTAGTCTTTTCGGAATTTTTGTAATTCGAAAATATTTTAGAATTAGTTAAACTCTTTTCCTTTTCGTAATTCAAATTATTATTATTATCAGGGTTGCCGGCTTTCGGGATGGGCCGAACGCCTGAACGTTCGGCACCCCCTCTCTACTCGATCGGCCGTTCGGCCGAACGCAGACCCAAAAAAAGAAAAAAAGAAAAAAAGAATTTCAAAAAATCTGAAAATAATATATGTTATGCGGAGGAATGAACTGAACAACATTTGCCTCAACGGTACATCCAAATTCTCTACCAAATTTGAAATAAAAATCAAATACTAACAAAAATAAATGGTAATGAAAATTAGAAAAAACAAAACGAGAACGAAATTATTGAGTGGGTGAGCACGTTTTTGACACCGCCATGTTTGGCAATTTTTCATTTTTTTTTGGCTGTGACAAATGCCGTGAAAATTTATATGTGTATCTTTCATAATAGAGAATCTACAAATAAAGTTTGAGAAAATAATAATTTTTTTCATGCCTCGAAATAAAGGAAAAATAAAAAGTGGAAAGAGAAAAAAAATAAAATTAGTGAGTGGGCAAGCAAGTTTTAACACCACCATATTTGCCGATTTTTCATTGTTTTTTGGCTGAGCAGAATGGCTTCAAAATTAAAAGGGAGATACCTTACATCACAAAGAACTCACAAAACAAAATTAAATAAAAAATATATATATATAAATGCCAAAATATTTTATTGCGGGGTCCAAACCCCTGGGGACCCGAACGCCCGAACGTTCGGGGGTCAGCTTAGGGTCTCCGTACGTTCGGCCTGGCAACCCTGAGTATTATTTTTATTTTTTTTGACATTTCTTTAAAATTTGAAACTACGTTTAATTCATTCTTTTTTAAAAATTTTGAAATACGTTGTTCTTTTTCGATATTTCTTTTTCAAATCTCGAAAATAATTTTAATTATTTCTTTCTCTCGAATATCTTAACTCATAAAATTCCCCTTTTTCTTTTTTGGCAGGGTTACCTGACCGAACGCTCGGGGGCCCCCGGGCTGGCCCCCGAACGTTCGGGCGTTCGGGGTCCCGTTTGGGGGCTGAACATCTCCAGGTTTGGCTCCCGCCAAAAAAAAATTCGGGGCCTAAAAATAAGTCTTTTTTTCTGATTTTTTTTTTGTGAGTTCTCTATGATGTAACCTACCTACCTATAAATTTTGAAGCCATTCTGCTAAGCCAAAAAAACATTAAAAATCGTCAAAGATGGGGGTGTTATGAACTTGGTTGTCTGACGATTTTTACCGCCACTCACACACAGACAATCCCATACATGCCCATACATGCATAAGAGAAGGGGGAGAGGAGACAGAGTCCAAACTGCACACCGATAAAAATAGGCAGCGGAAGTCAACCATGCACAGATGGGGAGAAGGCACACAGTGTTTCTCTCTCTCTGACAAACTCCCAACAACCAATCACAAGTAGAACCTGCGAGGATAACAATTGAAATTGCACTG